TCTTATATCTGCTTTTGAAGTGAGCATTTAGTTTTTTTTTCTAGACCTTCTTTTTATTCGTGCTCGGAACCCCATCTGTTGTGCATGTTTTTAATCTGTTACGGGGACCATTCGTCAATGGTGAGCCCGCTCTATTTGCTAGAAATCCCAATCGCAGCCTCCAGCCACCTGTAAATGGCTCGTGGTCTTTAATTGCAAATTACTCCATCCAGTTGTCATCGTACACATCCCAAGAGCTCCAAATAGGGAACTTAGTGACCGCGAATCCCCTCAACCAATGAAAACGGACTCCACAAACGCGAACATCTCCGAGAGCGCTCAAAAAGGTTGAATCTTCAGCCGTCAGAACCGATTCCTCTGCTGCTGAAAGCGTGCAAGACTTCTATAGATGTTTGTTACCATTTCTTGTAGTATAACAACATCAGATATCATGAAGTCCCATTCACGCAAGCTATGTGCTTTTGTCAGAATCTGCTTCTCTCTATTTCTGTGACCTTTTCCTTTTCAGCCTTTGTGCATCGTCTCTCATCAGTTCTTTTTCTTCTCCATTTCTCGATCATGTACAGTCCTCATCATTGCGGACCGGTGGGGCGTGTCAGTGCGGCTGCGTTTGGCGCGGTGCCAAAGTCGTTCTGCACCAGTTGTTGAAGCGGGCAAGTGACATTACTGTATATTCTACCACTTTTTGTCGCATACGCGTTTCAACAAAAAGGCTGAGAACGGCTTCAACAGTGTGCACACTCATACTGGCTGACACGCCCCACCGGTCCGCAATGATGAGGACTGTATTTGCATTTCTTCTGATACCTTCTTGCTCGCATTGGCATTCAGCTTTTCCTGTTCATCATTCTTCAGTTTTTGCCAGTCGCTAGGCATTGCACGCAGCCTTCTTGTGCCTTTGTTTCCTAGTTGCGATCACTTCTTCATCAATGTTCCCATGATTGGTGAGTTTCACCTGGTTTAGCCCTTGTTCTCTTGACCTAGCAAACATCGACTCCTTCCTCGTTGCGCAAACACGGATAACCACTATTAGGAATTCGTACCGAAGTCAGGCCTTCTACCTCTACTACCGTTTTATCAAACATGTACCCTTACAATTTCAATTTAGAATTGGCGGTCGCGATGTATCGGCATTATTTACAGTAAAGTGTACGAACATGGTGCACCATTGAGTATCTGCGATTCATCTTTCACATGGATACTTTGCTTATTCACTCAAGATTTGATATTCTATTTGTGTCATCGCGCTATACATGGTAAGTGTGCAGTTTGAAGGAGAATAGTGGCGCATCTGCCTTGAGGACGGACAGAATTGATTATGATTCGATGAAAAACGTTCATAGTGGAGCGATTGAATTTGTTTCCTTAATTTGTTCGATACTGGGTGGGTATTGTTGGCAAGGTGCATAGTCTGAATGTGATGATGAAATACAGTCTTGTATGCAATGCTGGAACGTGTCAGAGAGTGGCGCTAGTGTTGTCACGACGCTAGCACGCTTTCCACCTAATATTGTTGCTTATCCTTCTTTTAAAGGCTGAGCCGAATTATGCGGCTCAAATACTTATAACAAGGTAGCAAGTAACCCCTTAGTGAAGAAAAATCAGAAAGAAATCATAGGAAAGGCTCTATATAGAACTCCTTGCTTAAGGAAGGCTGTACGGAAAACCACTTCTTTTCACACAGCCCGTATGCGCAACATGTAGCTAGCAGAGGCCATGCGCGAAGTTCCGCGCGCGAAAGCCCTTATCTCGAAGAGTAACAAACCTTTATGAATGTCCACCCAGCCTGGCCAGCTGGACACGTAGGCGGAGCCAAAAAGGCCTTTGGAACAGTTTGCGCGGCAACACGGCAAATGCCACGGCACGGTGTGAACTGGTGCATCGTAGGGAAAAAATTCGCGATCTGCCGTGTCAGGTCAGACGTGCAACTCTATGTACTGGCTCGCCAGAGTATAACACACATCAGTTTCTTGACTGAAGTGCTCGCGTTAAAGCTGGTTCCACGGCCAACACGATGTGTTACCAGTTCGCTACTCTGCCTGACTTACTTATGTATTTGATGATGTGATGACTGCCGAGCCCAATTTGTTGGGAATTGCAAATCTAAAATCGGCTTCACGACAGAAAAGCGCTGAAGGACTCAGACAGGGTCCAAGTAGCGTAGGGTCAGTAAAGAACTCAGCTCAAACTGGCATCCGTCTGAAGTGGGTGCGCGCGGTACGTTATAATTTCGGTGCAGGGTGGCTTAAAATCCGGGAATATATCATTCGAGGTTAGTTGGGAATCATTGGATAAGTTGAGGGAGACGCCCCCATCGTCGCGTCGCTGAGCTTGCAATGCGTACTTCACCACGACTAGGGAGTCACGCTCTGCTCCTCCGGCCAACCACTATGGTCTTGACCACCTCTAATGATCGTGCTGATACTGTCATTTTACCGATTCCGGAGCTGTACCGCGAGGCAGCTTCTTTTGAACCTGGCCTACTGAAGTAAGCGGACTACTAACCGTAAATATCATTCTCTATCAGTCGACCTGAAAGTTGCGGATAGCCAATGATGTTAGTCGACCAATCTGTCTCTGACACTGGGCTGCAAAATCTGAATATAGGGTGCGGGACGCTCGACGTTCGACGCTACTGCGACGCGCGGTCTTGGTGCGATATCACCGACGTGACGCATTATGCAACTTCTTGCTCGCCGTACTTGCTGCCATATAAAAGTAAGGTGGCGTTCAGGCTTGTAGCGCTACGTAGCGCGACATAGTGCGACGTAGCGCTACAAGTTTGAACGCTGCCCGTCCGCCTCCTTTTCTTTGGAACATCATTCTCTGAGTAATTTATGCAAAAATGAAACGCGAAACTTCCTTGAATAGCAGAGGCACATCAATCAATAGTATTTATAAAATACAATTTGAGGTTCAGTATCACTCAGATTGAGCACATAAAAGGAACACAATGGTAAGCCTCATTGATTAGTGAGCATTCCAAATAAATATGTTGCCACATCTGCCATGAACTCCATCCGGATGCTGAAATGAAGTTTACGTTGAGTTCACAGCAAAAATTTCATGTTATGATTGAGCGTAATAATATCCTACGTTCGAGTAATACTTGGAACGCGGTGTTAACGCATTTGGGAAGGGACTTCTCATGCTGCACACTGCTCATTTGCTCCCTGCTCGGCGAAATGGTATCCCAGGGTTTGCTAGGACACAGGGTTTTTTTCGATGTAACTCCGTAATTTCAGAGGTAGAAAAGAACATTAACACTGCACTCCAGTAGTGTGATAATCCAACAAGGCTATGCAATAAACGGTGAAAAAGGCGAACAAGCAGTTGCAAATAAGTGGATGAAAAACGTCGCCTCTGCCGTGAAGGGATTGACAATTCCTTCGTGTAAAATGACACTTTTATATGTCCCGGATGCCACGAACCTAGACGTACCCCTTGACTCTGAAAGCCCATATTAGAATAGAAAGGCAGAAGGTCAGCAGTAAAAGCATGCTTTCCAACCTTCCTATTCGAGGTATGATCACTTTATCTCTTGAACATGTTAGAAATCCTCAATCAGCTGTTTCTATCACTATTTTGGCGAGGAGGGTGCAAAAGGGCAGCGTGTCGCGTGGTTCTCCCGCCCAAACGAGTTAGCACCTAGAATGCTAATTCATTAACGAACTGACGACTGTGATGCGAAGTGAACAATGCTCTATATGAGAAGAGAACTCGAATTCCTACACAGTGACTTCTTCAATACAGAACTACATACCTTGCTACCGGCTATCCTCGAATCGAGATAAACGGCGTTGAAAGCATTTGTAGCCGCACTCAGTCCCTTCGACTCGGTTCCTCCTCTTGCTAGTCGCGTCCACTATAGAGAATTCTAAACATAACGTTCGTTAACCTAACAAACTGCGAACGTTAAACATACCCACTGATTGTTGTATAATGAATAGCAAAGAAATCAAAGGAAAGGGAACCACAGTCGCTTTTTCTGCAGACGCTAAGGTGGGTAAGGGGTGCAGGCTTCGGCGCGGTGGCAGCCAGCTACACCAACTCGAAATGCATTCTCGAAAAGCGAAGTTATAGGGTAGTTCGCTGCGGACGGTTGGGCGTGCCAGGCAAGCTATTGAGTGTGAAAGAGAGGTGGTAAGGAACCAAGGGAATGGAATCATGTCAAAAATGATATCATTACGATGGAACGTTTGTGATATAGATCTTACCGGTTCACCGCGCGGCGTTTTTGGCAGCTCAAGTCTGTCTGATTTGAATATTCCATACCTTGCCTGGCGTGTCTCTTTCATCAACCTGGAACGAGAAATACAACATAAAAAATAGATACCAAACGAAAATCGCATATGCGGACTGCGCACGTTTGAAGTCCGAAGAAGAAACGTAGAGTAAGGACAACGGTAGATAAACGACGAAAATTCATAACAGATTGTAATACATTACTTAAAAAAAGGAAAAAGAAATAAATGATAGCGGAAGAGTGACTATTGATTGATGCGAAGACAGGACGCCAAATTTTTTTGCGACGTCACACCAGGCAACGCATAGAGACAGCGGGAAGTTGTGAGAGTTTTACGGCGGGAATTTGAAAAGAGAATATGAATTTCGTTTTTTTGGAATTTTTTACGCTATTAACCAATTCCTTTTGCTTTTTCTGCTTTCTTGCGCAGAACAGAGCCCAATGTGCTGATTTTTGGGGAAAATGGTATCACGCGATTTCCGTGGGCGATTCCTTTAACCGAGTTGATACGGTGCTCATCGTCGAAAAGAAGGTGCGAGCGCACGAGTTCTCAATCTGTATATCAGCAAGTTTTCCCTTACGCACCCCTGCTCCACCACATGCGTGGGAGAAGGCAGCAGTGAAACAACCGCACCGTCAGATAACCATTAGGAATGAATGGAGGGCGGTGCCAATGATTGTAGGCTGGGCCAATCAGAAGAACGACTGTATGGTGGGCTTGCTCATTCGTTTTTGCGCCGCGAAAGTGGTGTAGTTGTCGCCTCTGCTGACCTAACTACCTGCTCGCGAAGGGAGAGGAAAATCTCAACTGAACGCGACAGCCGCTTTAAGAAATAAGAAGAACGGCTGTCTAACACGGCGTGCTATATTGAACTCATCTTCCCCTAACTCCTGATTCCGCAACGTCCGCAGTGAAAAGGTATGCAGAAATGGCAGCAATTTTCCCAACTGAAAAAAAATCCATTGACTCGCTCAGGTCAAACCGCTCTCTTCTATCCAAAGATGTTACATACTGCTTTTCTAAGCAGTACGCAACATTTTCGGATGTCATCCGAATCCCAGGGATTAAATGTGCGCCTGCAGGTCAGGGTGCTGAGAAATTTAATTATTGACTATTCCCCGCTCGAACCGCAATGCTTCCCGCTTCACGCGGTGCGTACATACATTCCTCCCCATAGTTGGCGCCGTTGCGAAGATGCTGTATTATTATTGTTTACAACAGCTTAAATAAATTATTTGATGACGACCTCCCTCCAACCCATCCTGCAGTTTTGCTTGAAGCACAGGAAAAATTTCTTGAAAAATTGGGTGGATTGGAAGGAGGTGAGAGGGATGGTGGGTAGGGCAGAGAAGGGCTCGTATCATATATGGAACTTTTCGGTGAAGATTAAGGTTATGCTGGCACCGTAGGTTTACACATCACATGTTTTGATCCCAAGTTTGTATGGAAGTCATGCAATAAAGTAAAATCACGAAATATTTGGAAATAAAGTCTAACCATTGTACGTCCCCACTTCATCTTGCTTATCATGTACAAAGCATGCATATGGGTATCTTTTCTTCAGAAGCTGGTGTGTTTTGGTCGTTTCATCAGATGCATCATTCTTCTGAGTATTTCAATCTCAGTACTGGCATACGTGAGGCAGCTATACAGGTTTTCTCCTTCTAATTTACAGAAAAGTATTGGAACAGTGCTTTTGCGCTGATTAGCAGTATACGCATGTAAACAGCTTGATGCAGCACGTAGCCTATGTGCGTATAGATGAACTGGTTAAAGGCAGTTGGTACGATAATTTGGTACTCCGCCTAAAATGCTAGCAGATCGCTATATGGTAGGAAAATGGCGAAAAAACGAAGTGAAACGGTCGAAAACTGCGAAGGGATGCCTTCATTCTAAAAAAGCATCAGGTACGGTCGTTCACTTGTGAGCGGGCGGGCGTGGTGGGCGTTCGGGACGGTATGTTGTGGTTTGATAGGGCCTTCCCTGGGAAAGACGTCAGCAGCGCCTGCTCAGAGTCGCGGAATCCCGTCCTGCCGGGCGTATTAACCACACTCGTCTTTAGGGACTTATCGTGCCAACTGCCTTTGAATGTGGGCTGCTACTGCTGTTGCTCATTCAACTTACAGCGCAATAATGTCTAAACAACAGAAGTCTTCACGGCCCGATCTCCATCCACCTCCTGGGTATGATCTCGCGTTCAGCTATTTATTTTTAAGAGCAGGCAATTAGTAGTAAAGTGAGCATAATCAGTCAATGACTACTAGTAGTGAAAAAATTCTTGCAGTTTTCGAACTCATTCTTCAACCCATCGTTCGGCGTAAA